AAAAATAAACAAAAGTTTTATTTTGTCTTTTGTTGTTCACCTTCGGCCTAGGCTTAGTAATGAATAACAAAGACTTTATTTTGGGCAGAGAAAATGAGTTTGGATGTTGTGGGAGAGGGTTTGTGGGTTGTGATTTGGCTAGGGGGGAATTTGGGCAGCAAGGGCTAAGGGTTGGGCCTTTTGATGGGAAAAAGGAATAAATTCAACCCAATTAGGATTATAACACTTAAGCATTATCCCCTGAATTTGCTTACCCTTTTGTGATGCATGGTGGGGTACAACATCCTCCCCATCTTCAAAAGAGTTTGACCTCAAACTCGGAGTATAAATTGGCTTGGATTGATCATTGAGGCCTCTCGTGTTTTCATTCACGTTCCCACAAACATGCTGGTTGACTTGCGTCGTTGTTATCGTCTCACGACGAGTTTCTTCTATGTATTCAGATTTACCAGCTCGTATCAATGTTGACAGATGAACATGAGATTTTTCTTCAGGATGAAGAGAAGTAAGGATGATTCTCTTATTGTCTTTGAGGAATGAATACGTGTTAGCGTATCCATCGTAAAGCACCCTGCGATTGAACAACCAAGGCCGTCCGAGCAGCACATGACAAGCATCCATCGGGATCACATCACACCATATTTCATCCTTGTAGGTTTTTCCAAGACTTAGTGACACCAAGCATTGAGTGTCAACACGTACCCCTTTACCATGATTCAGCCATTGAATCGTGTACGGTGTCGGGTGTGGTGAGGTTTTCGGCTGGAGTTTATCCACCATAGTCTTAGAGGCAACATTCGTACAACTCCCACTATCAATGATGAGAGAGCACACCTTTCCTTTGATTGTACAACGAGTATGGAAGATATTCTCTCGTTGTATTTCTTCTTTTAGACAGGCCATCGCACTTAAAGTTCTACGAATGACCAAAAGCTCTCCATCATCAGGTCCGACATATTCTTCTTCTTCTTTATCCCATGAAGGGTCAAAAGTATCATCATTGCACTCCACCAGAGTCATGACCTTCTTATTGGGACAATCTTGAGCTATGTGACCATTGCCTTGGCAACGATAACATTTCGGACTTCGGTTGATGTTTTGATTGTGCCGGGATTGATTTTGGATATTTGAGGGAGGGTTTTGAAGTATGGGTTTATGGTGAGAGGACGTGGGATGTGGAGGGGATGAAGGAGTGGGGAGTAAAGGTGGGTAAGAAAAAGAGGTTCTCATTTGGGCAGCCTTGCCTTTCTTGATTTGGCTTTCAACTTTGAGAGCCAACTTTGTAAGATCGTCAAGGGTTTGGTAGTCTTGCAGTTCCACGGTATTAGCTATTTGGACATTCAATCCAAATACATACCTCACAAAAGTTTGTGAATCATCTTCTTGAAGATCACACCTTAATAAGAGTTCCTCGAACTCTCGGTTGTATTCCTCTACAGAACGAGGGCCTTGCTTCAAGTGTTGAAGCTTAGCAAAGTTTTCTTGTATGTAGTTCTCGGGCAGAAACTTCTTCTTCAAGAGTGTTCGCATCTTGTTCCACGTGGTCACCGGGGACTTGTTTTCTCTTCTACGCCTAATGGTGACGTTGGTCCACCATGTTGCATACTTTCTGAACTTTAAGGCCACGAGTTTGACCTTCTTCCCTTTGGACGCATTCTTGAAATCAAAGACACGTTCAACGGTCTCTAACCATTCAAGAAAGTCATCAGGGTCGTTCTTTCCTTCAAAACTGGGCATGTCTACCTTGAAATCAGAGGCTGACTTCTCTGGATTTCTAGTTCTTATGGTAGCAACAGAACTAGCATCATCTTCATCTTCACTTTCTTCAGGAGTTTGAACCATACTCATCTTGAATTTAGTGAGCTTTGCCACTTCTTTTGCCAAGTATTCAACTTGAGCCTTTAATTCTGCATTTGAAGCAATAAGCTCTTCTTGGGACATGTTTTGAGTTGTGTGAGACATGGTTTAAAAGAAATAGGTGTAGGGAAAGAGGGGTGTAAGTGAAGAAAATTCAGCAGGGGAAGATAGTCGATTATCTGAGTTTGATAATCGATTATCGATGCTATCAGGATCAAGATTGGGAAAGAAAGAAAGAAAGAAAGAGAGGGAAGTCTTTGTGGTCCTCAAAGAGATGTTCAACAACAAGCTTTGATACCAAATGTTGTACCCGAGACCCGGGGTGGTTTAGGATATCAATTTAAGAAGAGAAAGAAGAAGAGAAGGTGTAGAAATATAGGGGAGGCTGAATTCAAGAGAAAACAAGGGAGTGAGAAAGAAGCATTTATCAAGTGAATAATAAGAGGAATCACACACACTTATCTTCACTCGGGTTAAACTCTAGTACTTAAATAAGGAATCACTCAACTTATTTAATATATCTAGAACCTAAAACTCCCACTTAAGAGAACCACTCTTAAGATATAGAATTAGGATTTAATATAGAGTACTTAGAGAGAGAACTGAGCAAGAAACTTATATTATCACAATATATTTTACAAGCTGATTAATACAATGAACCAGGGCTGAAATATATAGGCCATGGAATGGAGAAAACAATACAACAAACATGATTACATGATAAATAAAATACAACAAAGGAAACTTCCCACTTCTTTCCTACAAAATAAAACAAATGCTGTGCATGTGTTAATATCCCAAATGAGTTGAATTCTTGGCTAATGATCAGGGATTTTGGAATGTATTTTGAGTGGTTTTATGTATGATTTTCGTCCTTAGGGTGAAGGAATAAAGGAAACAACATGGCTTGACTTCTAGTGAAATATAGGACAAAATATTACTATTCAATCAAAGACTTTTGGGCAGGCACATGGATGAGGGATTAAGCTTTGTTTTATATTGTAAAAGTCTTTGATTTTGTTGAATAATAACATGGGAATTTCGTCCAT